TGTCGTGTCCGTCCTGCGCACGTGTGTGCCGGTGGCCAGGGCGTGTGTGGAGCAGCGAGCGTGGCGTCTCTCCTCTGACTCCGTTTCCCTGTGCCCTGGCCTGGCTGCTGGTTCCGCGTCCGGGGCTGGGGCTGGCTGGCTGCTGGTCGCCTCTCTCGTGGACTTGGGGCTGCGTCCGGGGCAGGGGCTCTGTGCCATTTGTCTCGCACCCGCAGCCGGTGCCCAGTGCTCTGCCATCCTATCCCGCTCTGTGCATGGCGGCCGCCTGCTGCCAGCCCGGCGACTTGGGGCCGTTCATTCACCCCAGCAAGCCCTGTGCCCCCCGTCCTCCTCTCCTGGGGCACCTGGGGGCTTTCTGGTGTCAGTAGAGAGGGAGGGCTGGTCCTGGCCGGCGTGGCTCAGCTGGTTGGGCGTTATCCCACGTGCTAAAAGGCAGAGGTTCGGTTCCTGGTCATGGCACATACCTGGGTTGCGGGTTTGATCCCCAGTCTGGGCATGTGCAGGAGGCAACCAATCGATGTTTCTCTCATATCAATCAGATCAATGTCTCTCTCTCTCTCTATCTTCCTTCCTCTCTCTAAAATCAATTAAATAAACAAAAGACGGAGGGCGGGTCCTACTTCCTCCAAGCGTGGGTGCTCCCTGAGGCCAGGACAGGGTCTCCTGGTGTCACCGCTCCCTCAGGCCTGAGGACTGCGTGGGGGGTGGGGAGACCAGCAGGTCTTTGGCGATGAAGCCGGGCTGTAAACCGGGGCCACAGGCAGGCGTGCGTGTGCGTGTGCGCGCGTGTGGGTGTGTGCGTGTGCGTGCGTGTACGATGTGACAGTGTCCCTGTGATTTGGGGAGGGAGGCCCGCTTGTGTTGCCCACCAGGTCTGCTCAAAATCAGACGTGTGTGCAGCGCCGCTCTGCTGGCGATCTTGTTAAAGCGAGGATGGTGGCTTCCAGGGTGGAGGTGGGGGGGCGAGGTTCCGCCTGTCTAACCAGCTCCGGAGCTGCCGCTGCTCGCACGGAGCCCTGTGCGGCGGGACTGGCAGGGCTGGACTCGGGAAGCCCTCTTGCCGCTTCCCTTGGCGTCAAGTGTCTGGCCCCTCTGCCCATGGAGCGCATCCCTAGAAGCTCAGCGTAAACGCCCCTCCTCCAGGAAGTGCACGTGGGGGTCCTGCCACAGTCCGGTGCCTTCCTTTGGGCCGCGGGGCTGGCCCTCTGCTCGGCTATGACGTTCCTTCCGAGCGGGCCCAGGTCCCTCGCTGCTCCGCCCGCTCCTTCAGGCAGTGACCACGCTGATCTTTGCCGCCCGAGCCTCGCCCGGCGTGGGAGCCGGCAGGTGCCTTCGCCTCGGCCCCTTGGCCGGTATTTGCCGGCAGGTCAGGGCCAGGTCCTCGTTCACTTTGTTAAGAGCGAGAATTCGCGTTGAGGTGGAGACACTCACGAGCTGTGTGACTCTGTATAAGTCACTTCACCTCTCTGTGCTGCCTTCTCTGAGCCAGGGGTGATCACCTGCTTCCTGGGGCCACGGTGGGGATGAGAGGAGGGACTCGCCGTGGGCGGCGCCTGGTGCTCTGCAGGTTTATTCCTGATACTGATCACGCATCGAGGGACACTTGGATCGGAGCCTGGCTCTGAGCCTGGATCTGTGCAGTGACCCAGGGTCGGACGGCGCCCCCCCCCCCCCCCCGGTCTTCCTGGCAGTCTCTCTCCAAGCATCGCCCAGCGGGCAGGCCCTCTCGTCTTCACCCTGTTGCAGGGTTGGGGTGGGACTGATTCTCAGGGGACCATGCTCGCTCAGGCCGACCCTGCTTGGCGGGGCGCGGCTCCTTTCCCAAGGGGAACGGCTGGGTGGGGTTGGTGGGCAGGGTCTGCTCTGAAAGGCCAGGGCCCCGCGTCTGTCATATGATCAGGCTCCTTCCCTGGGCGGGGCTTGACTCAGACTGTCGGGTCAGCGCCAGGAGGAAATGGCCAAGGTCAGCGCTATCGTGTTGCCTGGCTGGCCCTGGCTTCCTGGGCGGGCGCTCTGCAGCGCCCAGCTCCCGGCCGGGTACGGTCCGCGCTGCGGCAGCCAGTGTCCTGCTGGAGGCTGTCAGCTCGGCTGACGTTCTCTTAAAATCCTTGAGGCGGGTGTGGTGTATGCATGTGTTCACACACACTCACACACTCACACACACTCACAC